CTCATGTCAGAAAACAATCATTCACTGCTGTACAAACAGCTAAATAAAATTAACATTCAAATAATGCTGTTGTGAGAAATGCAAAATTCAGTCTGTCTTTTCTGGTTTGGGGTTTGTTATTTGTTCTTTTGACAGTGTCAGTTAAAAACACATTTTAAAAGCAGTATGCAGTGCTAGATTTGTCCTTTTTATTGATTTTAGTAGAAACCACATAGCTAAAATTGCTATATACTGTGTTTAAAAAAAAACAAACCCACCTGTCCAAGCAGTGGTCCCCAAATTGTGAAACTTGCTCTATAGGGACCTTTGGAGCGAGGGGCACACATGAGGCCTGGGCCAGCCCCCATAGGGGTAGGGAGGAAGCATAAAGCTTGCAGCCCCACTTTGCCCCCAAACCAGCTCCAACCCTAATTCCATTCAGCCCCAGTCCTGCTCTGTCTCTTGGGCTAGGCATGTGCCCTTGGGAGGCATGGAGGGAGTGCTTTGCTCCCAGCCCCACTTTGGCCCCAGAACAGCTCTGCCCCCAGCCTCATTCAGCCCGTAGTTCTGTTCCACCCCCTATCCTCAGGATCTTCCTGTTCCACTCCCAACTCCACCTTTAGCTTAAGCTCTGTTACTAAGGAAGCTTCGACTATACAATTAGTTGGCAAGTGCTGCCATGCAGAGCCGCAACAGACGTAGCTCCAGGATCTGACTGGAGCCACCCGTGCTGCTGCTCTGCATTTTAAATGTAGTAAGAGCTGCTGGGCTCTTACTACATTTAAAATGCAGAGGCACAGCAGTGCCAGCTTACGCTGAGTCCAGCAGCCCCTGTTCGCATTGGACAGTCCTATCCGCCACAAACGGAGGCTGGTGTCAGACCAGCCCCTGTTCGCGGCAGTCAAGGCTGGCAACAGACAGCAGCTGCTGCGTGAGCAGCCCTGGCTGCCATGAACAGGGGCTGCTTGGTGGCAACAGCCCCTGTCCGTGGGGGGCCCAGCTCCCCTCTGGGACCACTGTGGACAGGTGCTGCTTCCCAGCAGTGTCCCCTATCCTCCCTGCTGCCTTTGATAGAGGCAGCAGTTGGGGGTAGGCGGCACCCTGGAGACGGTGCTGGGGGAAACTAGCTTTTAAGCTGGCTCCCCCCAACACTGGCTCCTGTCCCCCCTTGCTGCCCCTCATAGAGGCAGCGGGGGGGAGGGAGTGCCACAGAGAGCATGGGCAAGCGGGTACTGCTTGTATCCCCGCTCACCCTTGCGTCCTGCCACACTTCTGCTTTTGAAATATACAAGAGCCCTTAAGGGCTCTTGTATATTTCAAAAGCAGAAGTGTGGCAGGACGCAAGAGGGGGGAGGGGGTGCCACAGAGAGCATGGGCGAGTGGGTACTTCTTGTATCCCTGCTCACCCATGCGCCCTGCTGCACTTCTGCTTTTGAAATATACAAGAGCCCTTAAGGGCTCTTGTATATTTCAAAAGCAGAAGTGCAGGCAGTGGGAATTGGCACCAGTGGGGACTGAAGCAGTCCCTACTTGCGTTGTTTCCCCTCTGTGCCTCTGCCTCCCCTTCCCCCCGCAGAGATGGTGCTAGGGGGAACCAGCTTAAAGCCGGTTCCCCCCAGCACCGGCTCCCGCCTCCCCTCCCCCCCTTGCTGTCTTGAGTGGCTACTCATCTATCCAATAAGTATTTGCTTATTGGAGAGTTGACTACTTGCTAACATCCACACAGCAGAGCTAGCTTAGGCTTGCTGGGGCCCAGGGCTAAAGCCTGGGCCTCACTGCCCAGGGCTGAAGCCAAAACTGAGAGCCTGGGCAGCAGGATTCAAGTTACAGGCTGAAGCGATATATTACTGGTCTTGTATAATTAACAGATAACCAGGTTTGTGGATCATTCTCTTGTCTTCCAAGATAAAGGGTGTGCATATAGGGATTTTTTGCTTTGATCAAAACTCTGATAAGTGAAGCATTGCCATGAGACATAATCTGATCTGAAGTTTGATGTGCAGTTAAGAGATAGTATATGATTTTTAAGATGATTGTTGACTATGCAATGCCCAATTAGTAGTTTAACATAGACATATAGCCTAAGGGCTCTAACTTTCTAATAGCTCACTAATGATGACAAAAAGATGCTTATTACTTCCTTAAAGAAGTTGCTTAGTGTTTCTTGTTGGTGAGGAAGAGTAAGATTTATTTGAGTTTTGCATATACTAAAATTGGCCTCTTTCAGGAATTGGTATAGATGCAAAAGGGAAAGCTGAAATTTTCACGAGAAAGCACCACAAAGCAGCTTTTCTTGATGCATGGTACAGCATTGGTTCATCTACACTCATAGTTCCAATTTCAGTGAATTGCTGATATAGAAAAGGCCTAGACTGGTCGTCAAAATACGCAGTTTCAAAAAGATGAATATAGCACGAAAATAAAATTCTTGTGTGGAGCTTCATGAAAAAGTGTAAAGATGAGATGAACTTTTAACTGCAAACTTTGAATGTAAAATTGCAGGTTAAGAAACTATAAATAAAAATAGACCCGTATTACATTGGACTGGGATAGATTCAAATTGCCCTGTTCTCTTCATTTCTCCTATTACTATTAACAGATTTCTAAATGTGGTTGAACTTACCATGTAGCTGCTTTCTCTTGTCCCAGCTCAATACTGCACTAAAATGTGGTTTAAAATACATTTTCCTGGTATTTCTTTTCTATGTAAGCAATACTATAGTTGTGTCAGAGATATCCTATAATACAACTGTGAGAGCAGATGGTCTATGCAGTCATAAATGAGGGAAAGATTCTGAGTCATTCTCTATTAAAACGTGTTTCACACTAAGAAAAGTTTGAGATTCCTTCTATAGCAGGCCTTTCACTGTTTCTGTATTTAGAAAAAAGTATTTGTCCTTATGTGTTTAATGCCTTTGGTTTCACTAGGAGAAAAATTAACCTTGCTATTTCTAATTTGCAAACATTATGCATGCTTTGTAAATTTTCCATTTAGGCCAGTGTCAGAGAAGAAATAAACCTGATTATTTTAATAAGAAGTCTCATTCTGCAATGTTTATGGTAGTCTGTTCAATGTCTGAAAGAAAGTTACTGATTGATCTTGCAATCCCTTTTATCATCCTAGGCCTGTAAGTACATGTATATTAAGTTATTAAGAAGGCAACTGTATCTGCAATGTTAGTACTCCAGAGTTTCTGTTTAACCACTGAAGCTTTTCTCCTCTGATTTGATAGGTGAAACAACCTACACTGATCTCTTTATACAGCAAAATCTTTAAGTAATTTACCATTGCTTGAGTAATTTATCATTTCATATAATCCTCCAAGTTTTTCACTTGAGCTGTTTGCCTGTCCAATTTGCTTCCCAATGTTTCAGTTATACTGTGCATTTGCTTAGATTTAGTATAGTGGTAGACATATAGGTGTATTAGTGCTGATATTCTGAAGAAAGTAGATTTAGATTCTCCTTTTTAAAGGCTGCCTGTATAGAAACTGAAAGGTGTTATGTTAGCATTTAAGAGTCCCTCTTGATAATTTAGTTCCCTGTAAGATTGTAAGACTGTAAGATTTCTTTTCCTGTGCCCTAAGCTGCCTACGGTAAGGTACATAAGGTATGTCTAAACTACATCCCTCTGTTGAAAGAGGGATGTAAATTAGGCAAATCAAAAGTGCAAATGAAGCAGGGATTTATATATCCCACACTTCATTTGCATAATGGCATCTGAGCGCTTTTTCGAAAAAGGGTTTTTCGAAAGTGAAAGCGACGTCTAGGCATGGTTCTTTCGAACCCTCCCCCTCTTAAAAAACAAACAAACTTGGAGTACAGGATCTTTTGAAAAAGGGTTTTGTTTTTTTGCTTTCACTTTTGAAAAACGCTTTTCGAAAAAGTGCTCCAACGCCATTATGCAAATGAAGCACAGGATATTTAAATCCCCGCTTCATTTGCACTTTCGATTTGCCTAAGTTACATCTCTCTTTCGACAGAGGGATGTAGTTCAGACAAAATGGTGTAGCTAAGGGGAGACTGACTAACTACAGATTTGGAACTGAGTCTGGAAATGTTTCCAGCCATAGAACTTCAAGCAATTGCTTGTTCCAAAGACCAGTCCTAATGTTCTGAATGTATAGTACATGCAGTTCTGCCATTAGTTAGTCAAATCACTAGCTCTCTCAACCCAAACAAAATATAAAATACTAGAAGATGTACCCAATGTTACTCAATTAATTTTTGTTTTATGAACAATAAAATGAAAATGTTCCTGTATCATTTAAATCATTGTTCTGGGGCAGGGTTGGCGATGAAGGGTTCAGTGTGCAGGCTTCCCTGTGAAGAGAGGACTACCCCAGCCCTCTCTTGCAACAGCATCTTCGAGCCAAGTGAGAAGGGCCTGTCCATAGCAGCTGCAGCTCCAGCAGGCACAGCTGAAGGGGTGCATGTCCTCCAGCTGGAGCAAATCCAGGTTGGACTACTCCCTATGCTTTCCAGCCAGAGTGAAGAATGCAGCAAACTGCACTTTCCTCTCGCTCCATGATGAAGGGGAATAGCTAGCAATGCTCCGGTATGAATTGGGGGAGGAGTAAGTTTCAGTCCTCCTTACCCTTTCTAAAGGTAGACACCTGGGGGAATAGGAGGCTTGAGTCTGAGACAGTTCCAGGGTGAGAGGCAGCCACGGCTAGCCCCTTTCACCTGCCAGGTGATTCTGTCTCTTTTCTCTGGATTTATTGAAAGCAGTCCCATTCCAGGTGCATCCCATTTTCCTGGCACAACCAAACTCTTATGTTTTAAGTTATGATAAGAGGAAACTGTATACTGAACTTGGTGGTCCTAGCATTTACCATTTAGGAAGATTTCTTGAACAGACAGACACATGGACAGACAGACAAACATACAAAACTCTCTTAAATATGTAGTAGATAAAGGGAGTTTAAAAAGTTAAAACCTACTAAAATTGAACGTTTTAGATTCCTTTCTAGGACTTAAAGGTATGATTTAATTTATTTATTTGCTTTATCCTTACTTAGGCTGCTTGGATTTTGAAAACACGAGCTCTAACAGAAATGGTTTATGTGGATGAAATTGACGTAGATCAGGAGGGAATAGCAGAGATGATGCTTGATGAAAATGCCATTGCTCAAGTTGCACGTAAGTAAAGACTTACATCATTTTCAGGGCTCGACAATTAGGGCAATCTACTCGCCAGTGGTGAGTAGATATTAGCCCAGCACGGTGCCGCAGCACGATCAGCGCATGCGCAGCGCCAAACCATGTAGCTGGCGAGCGGGGCTTGCCGCCACTTGACAAACCCTGATCATTTTAATATATTTAGGTGAAAATTCTTTACAGTACATAATATTATAGGGATCAACTCAGTGTTGATTTTTAGGCACAGTCACAATAAATGTTCAATAATAATATAACGTCATTGTAAAAGGTACATTGAAATTCAGCTGAAAGAAAAATAGTCTGTTTACAAACTTGACAGTTTGGCTATGTCTACATTGCCGACTTTTGCTGGCAGAGAGTATGTTAATAAAGCGCTCATTAGCAACTTCTCCTGCTTCATTTGTATAATCTCTGCCCAAGCCTTTTGCTCAAAAGGTTTTTGCGCAAAAACTAGCAGTGTAGATGGTTTCGTTTTGTGCAAAAAAACCCTTTTGCACAAGTTCCTTATGCCTCAAAAAAGGAGTTATACAGATCTTGCACAAAAGGGGGGGTTTGCACAAAATGGATCCGTCTACACTGCTAGTTGTTGCGCAAAAGCCTCTTGTGCAAAAAGCCTGGGGCAGAGATTATATAAATGAAGTGCGAGAAGTTGCTAATGAACGTTTCATTAGCATACGCTCTACTGGCAAAAACCAGCAGTGTAGACATAGCCTTTAGGTTTATTCCATCTCTGGGTCTATTCTCTGTCCCTTTCCTGGCTTCTTTCACACAGCCTCTCTCCAAATTTTTCACCATCATTGTGGAAAACTATAGTCAGTCTAAAATTAAAACAAGGACTGAAAAGGAGATGGCCTTCCAGCTAGTACTTCAGGGATAGACTGCCTATGGCTAATAGAGGCAGTTTATATCATGCAAATGAACTTTCACCAAGAAGTCTGATGAAGAAGGAATTCCTAACATAGCAAATATTGGTGGGAATGGGGTAGGTTTAGAAGATAAAATAAAAAAACAAGTTAAAAATCACTTAGAAAAGTTAGAGGTCTGCAAGTCACCAGGGCCTGAAGAAGCTGATAGAGGAGGTATCTGAGGCTTTAGCTATCATCTTTGAAAAATCATGAAAGATGGGAGAGATTCCAGTAGACTGGAAAAGGGCAAATATAGTGCCCATCTAAAAAAAGGAAAATAAAAACAACCCAGGAAACTACAGACCATTCAATTTAACTTCTGTGCCAGGAAAGGTATTGGAACAAATAATTAAGGAAATCATCTGCAAACACCTGGAAGAGAATAAGGTGAGAGGGAACAGCCAGCATGGATTTGTAAAGAACAAATCATGTCAAACCAATCCGATAGCTTTCTTTGATAGGATAATGAGCCTTGTGGATAAGGGAGAAGCGGTGGACATGGTATACCTAGACTTTAGTAAGGCATTTGATATGGTCTTGCATTATCTTCTTATCAATAAACTAGGCAAATACAATTTAGATGAGGCTACTACAAGGTGGGTGCATAACTGGTTGGATAACTATTCTCAGAGAGTAGTTATTAACAGTTCACAATCATGCTGGAAGGGCATAACAAGTGGAGTTCCGCAGAGGTCTGTTTTGGGACCAGTTCTGTTCAATATCTTTATCAACAATTTAAATAGAGTACGCTTAATAAGTTTGCAGATGATATCAAGCTGGGAGGAGTTGCAACTGCTTTGGAGGATAGGGTCATAATTAAAAATGATCTGGACAAACTGGAGAAATAGTCTGAGGTAAATAGGATGAAGTTTAATAAGGATAAATGCAAACTACTCCACTTAGGAAGGAACAATCAGTTTCACACATACAAAATGGGAAGTGACTGCCTAGAAAAGAGTACTGCAGAAAGGGATCTAGAGGTCATAGTGGATCATAAGCTAAATATGAGTCAACTGTCAGGGTGATTAAACCATGGAATTTATTGACTAGGGGGGGTTGTGGAATTTCCATCTCCAGAGATATTTAAGAGCAGGTTAGATAGACATCTATCAGGGATGGTCTAGACGGTGCTGGGTCCTGCCCTGAGGGCAGGGGACTGGACTAGATGACCTCTCGAGGAACCTTCCAGTTCTAGTGTTCTATGATTTTATGTATATCTAAAAAAAAAGTAGCTACCTATGTTGGCAAGTTCAAGAGACCCCTCTAATAGATGAAAGGCAGAGACTCAGCCTCAGAAAAATGGTCTCACTATTTTATGTATGTATTAACTGCCATAGCACTCAGAATAACAGTGGTCTGATCATTAATGAAGGAATCTGAGCTTTATCTGGTTCTGCGACTCTCACAAACACAGGGTTCTAATGATGTAAGATTGTTATTCTCTGTGTGTTCTGTAACTAAAGGGATTGGCTTACTTAAAGGGATATCAACGAGTAGTTGACTAGATGATTAACTGATAAGCCTAGGCTTATCGATTGATCTTGTCGACTGTTTGCATTCCCCCGTTGGTGTCTCTGTAGCAGAGGTAGCAAGGGATGGGGAAGCAGGACCTGGTACAGGGGGGGAACGGCTTAAAAGCGGATTCCCCCCAGCACCGGCTCTGCAGTGCCACTTGCCCTTCCCCTCCCCGTGTGCTGCTGCCTCTAATGGAGGCAGCAGGGGGTGAGGGAACAGGGGAGGTTGTAGTGAGGCTGCCTCTGTCCATGAGGGGATGGGGCCTGCCGCAGGCAAAGGCTGCTTCATAGTAGCAGCCCCTGTCCACAGGGGGTGTGAGCTCCTAGCAGACAGAGGCTGCTCCGCATCTCCCAGAGCAGCCTCTGTCCGCAGTGAACCTGGGCCCACCAAGGGGGTGAGCTCCTAGCAGACAGAAGCTGCTCCATATCTCCTGGAGCAGCCTCTGTCCGCAGTGAACCTAGGTATGTCAATTGTAGGATCCATGTTAATGAGGCTAATTAAGTGGTCTGGATGTCCTCCATTCATAGCTTTTGATGTGAAAATGAGGATGCGAAAGTCAGGAGAAATTGGCTTTGTAATGCTCCAACCAGTTAATGTCTTTATTTAAGCCCATGGTAACAATGTCAAACTCCTAGATGAATTCCAGTTCTGCAGTGTCTCTGTAATTGGTTAGTAAAATTCCTTTATAGAAGAATGGCTACTTTTAAATCCGTGATTAAATAACCAAGCAGGTTAAAGTGTTACCCTACAGATTTATGTGTGTTACCATTTCTGATGTCTGATTCATATCCACTTATCCTTTGTCATACAGATTGTCCAGCTTGGCAGAGGGGCATTGCTGGCACTTGATGGCAAATATCACATTAGAGGTTGTGCAGTTGTATGAACCCCTGATGTTGTGGCTTAGGTGGTTAGGTCCTGTGATGGTGTTGCTTATATAGCTACATGGACAGAGTTGGCAATAAAGTT